TAGAGGAAGATTGGTACAGATGTAGCTCAGGGACAATCTTCCTCACAAAAAGAAAAACATTTTTGCATACTGCACCATTGATAAACCTCAAGGACATGGTGTTGAGGAAAAATAAAAACAGAAAGTCAACAGCACAACTGACGTAAATTAGAAAGTGGCCATACACAGGGCCGGCCCCGTGGTGTAGCGGTTAAGTGCCTGCTGGCGGCCCAGGTTCAGATCCCGGGCGTGCACCGACGCACCACTTGTCAGGCCATGCTGTGGTGGCGTTCCACATAAAGTGGAGAAAGATAGGCACCGATGTTAGCCCAGGGCCAGTCTTCCTCAGCAAAAAAAGGTTGGCGTGGCTGTTAGCTCAGGGCTGATCTTCCTCACACACACACAAAAAAAATGGCCATACTGAGGACACCTCTGAGTCCGAGCCGATGAGGAAGACAGGATGAGGAAGACGGGTGGGCGTGGGAAGAACCTGTTGGACCAGAATCCAAATTGAGCAGACGGATAGAGCTGCCAGGCGCAAAGGAAGGAGACAGTCCAGATAACAGCGGGGGAGGGGAAGAAAAGGCTGCTTATTGAACACAGATGACCGCAGAGCTGGGGCAGGCATGAGGGAGCTGTCTCGCCTCCTACTCCCCACCCTTGAGTAGGGAGGCCCAGCTCGGTTATGTGTGACCAGTTGAAGCCACTGAATCACACACAGACATACCAAGGGAAAAACAGAATAAGAAGCATATAACATCCCTGCAGATAAAGAAGGCATGCCAGAAAAGAGAGAAAAACTGAGCATTTCATCACAAGCTAAATGGAGTTAGAAGATGATAAAAGTTGTGAAAGAACACCTTGCAACAGACACGGGGAAAAAACTTTACTAAGATCATTGGAAAAAATGAAGATTTGAAGACTGCTGCTACAACTTAGAAATAAAAGGATAAGGGCAGGGCCGGCCCCGTGGCTTGGCGGTTGGGTGCGCGCACTCTGCTGCTGGCGGCCCGGGGTTCGGATCCCGGGCGAGCAGCGATGCACCGCTTCTCCGGCCGCGCCCCACATGCAGCGACTGGAGGGATGTGCAACTGTGACAGACGACAATCTGCTGGGGCTTTGGGGGGAAAAAATAAATAAATAAAATATTAAAAAAAAAAAAAAGGATAAGGGCCGGCCCCGTGGCTTAGTGGTTAAGTGCGCACGCACTGCTACTGGCGGCCCGGGTTCGGATCCCAGGCGCGCACCAACACACTGCTTCTCCGGCCATGCTGAGGCCGTGTCCCACATACAGCAACTAGAAGGATGTGCAACTATGACGTACAACTATCTACTGGGGCTTTGGGGGGAAAATAAATAAATAAAGTTAAAAAAAAAAAAGAAAAGGATAGATTTCTAAAAGAAAATTAACCGGGGGAAAACCTGGGGAACGAGCTGCACCAATGACTCCTTAAAAGAAAGAGGTAGTGAGTAGCTCCGACGCTCCTGCCTTCAGAGGTGGAGCCAGTCCCCCTCCCTGGAATGGACCACACTGCCCCCTCTCAGCCAGCGCTCCCCAAGGGCACTCGGCCAGTCTCCAGAGACGTGGTTGGAGGAGGCTCTGGGTGTCAGGGACCCAGGTCGAGACTCAGGCTGAAGTAGCCAAATTACTCATCCCCCAGGTCAGGGTCTCCAGCAGCTCCCTGGCTATGCCCCACCCTGCCCAACAGCCCTGCCCCCACCCTGAGATCACCAGGGAAACGCCAGCCCCACAATCCCGGAGAGAAATGTCTCCTCTATCTGCCCTTGATCCTGCCTGCTGCACTTGGTGTCATCTGTCACCCTACCCCGCCACCCAGCCAGCGCTGAGTAAACTGGCTTCTCCAAAGTGGCCTGAGATCAGAGGAGCAAGCAGCTGCTGGGGGCCGTGGGGAGGGGCCTGGGCAGGCAGGTCTGTATCCCGTATCCTGCATCCTGGTGTCACTGCTGGGTCCCCAGAGCTGGCCACGCGGGGGCGTTCAGCACACGTTCACAGAACGATTGTGGATTATTCCCGTTGGCTAAACGAGGAACACGTGCTGCGGATCAGGTCTGGATGAGGTTTGGGGGATGAGCAGGGAGTCGGAGTTCTATTTTGCACACAGAAGCCAAGACAGTGAGAATTTCAAGGGCCACGTGCCTGGAGCTGGAGGAGGGTCAGGCTGGGGACGTAGCCCTGGGGGTCTTGGCCCAGAGAGCACCTCAACTCATGGCAAAGATACGAATAACAATGGCTACAATTTATCTCTACCTGTGAGTTAGGTCCTATTACTATTTCCATTTTACAGATGGGGAAACAGAGGCACTGAAAGGCTGCATGGCTCTTAAAATGCAGAGCCAGGACAACAGCCCAGGCAGCCCCTCAGTGTTTCGGAATCAGAGCAGAGTTACTTCTCTTCCACGACAGAAAATTATAAGCTTAAGTATTTTCAGGCACCAGAGAGAAAAGCAGTCTCAACCAACGAATGAGGCACACGGAAGCCACTGAGGTAACCAGGAGAGCAGAGACCATGATAAGAGAGGGGAAGGAAGGAGGGACAGGCCCCTCGAGGAGGATGGAGAAGGAAATGTCCTGGACGAGGTACACTGCCAATCTTTCAGGTGGACTGGTGGGCCAAGGTGGGGGAGGAGCCTGGGTGTCCCCTGCACCCCTCGGAGGATGGTGGGGCCACCTGCAGAAGAGCAGCTGTGGGGATGGCCATGAGCTCAGAAGCATAAGTGCTCTGCCTGGACACCAGCTCCAGACTGTCTCCCAGGCCAGGGCTCATGACTGGACCATGCTGGGGCTGGGCTGCTCAGCCCCACCTCTGCAGACCCAAAGCTGGACTCCGGGCCGCCAACAAGCCCCTGGAACAGAGCCCTGAAGAGGCATCTCTGGAGCAGAAGGCTGGTCAGTGCTGCAGGAAATAAAGAATCGGCTGATAAGACAGGCCTGTGGCTCTAGCTGGCCTGAGCTCCAGCCCATAAACAGGACCCCAAATCAGGGGGAGGGCCAAGGGGACGGGGCAGAGGAAAAGGAAGGCCTCAGGAAACCTCGCCATGGCTCCAGCAGGACCATGTAGCCCCAGCTCTGGAAACTGACTGCCCCCAGGAGCTAGAGGATGGACACCAGGGCACCTCAGACCAGGGCTGCCAAGGGGTCCCACTTCTGCCCTCACGGAAGACATCTGAGCACACTTCACAGGTGGCCCCGGGTCTCAGCAGACAAGGGGCCCCCAGGGAGCCAGGATGGAGGCTGCTGGAGGTGGAACCCCTCCCACTCATGCCCCCGGCTGTCTAGACACATCGCTGCACCCCCACCTCTCCAGGGGATGAGTCACTCCTCAGAGCCTGGCACGCCCCCAGCTGTCTGGCTCCTCAGGGTCACAGCTCCTGGATCTCAAGGACAGCCTAAGTGGGGGAGGGCCCAGGCAGGAGGGCAGGTGGCAATCCAGTGAATGCCACAGACAGAGGCCCCACGTTACCCTGTCCCCCACTCCCCAGCCCTAGCACTGCATGGGGAGGCCCAGGCCGGGGAGGGGGCCCTCCTAGAGCTGCCTAATTACTGCTTGTCACAGCTCAAGTGGGTCACCCGTGAGACTGGCCTATTTCTAGCTGCAGCACGTGCCGAACCCCCTACCGCCGCCCAGCACAGTAGACCCAACAGAGATCCTCTCCCAAGGTCTGAGGGTGGGCAGACCAGCAGTGGGACACCCTGTCTGTCCCTCTGCCAGAAAACGGCAAGGGCAGAGTGCCTGTGCACCTGACCTGGGATTGATGCCACCTGACCGGGCAAAGGGTCCAGGGTCAGCCACTGGGCTGATGCTCGAGGAGCTTAGAGGAGCTGGGGAGCAAGGGGTCCCCCCTTCCTTCTCACTCCGTGCCCTTCTCTCCCACTTCTTGAATAAGCACACAAGACAGTGGTTTTGATCTAAGAATGATGCACATTTAGACAGACATTGGTGCCAGGCTCACACGTGACCAGCGCCACGCCAAGGGCGGGCAGAGCAAAGACAAAGTGGGGGGAATGGGCGCTGTGGGGGCACAAGCCAGGACCTGAGATTGCTGGTGGCCACTGGGGTGAGGGTGGGGACAGGTTAACCACAGTGACTCCAGAAGCGCCAGGTCCAGGGTGGTCACAGCCAGGGGCTCACAGAGAGCTGGGTGTGCCGCACCCCTCCCAGCGTCTGGCATCACCAGGTAGTCAGCACAAGAAGCAACCCTCGCCAGGGTACTCAGGTCTGCCCGGAGAGGAGCAAGGTCAGCCTTCAGTCCACCATGGGTCTGTAGGTGGGCAGCAGCATGTCTGACCAGATCCTGGAATCCCAACCACCAGCTTGAGGAGGAGCTGGGATGGTGCTGTCTGTCATGCTGTGGCTGAGGCTTGGGATCCAGACCACAGTGGAAGGTCCTGCTGGGCAAAGCTGGCATCTATTCTTCTACTCTCTAGATGCAACACTGTCCTTTCGGACCAGGCTCCCTCTTCCCAGCCACCTGCCCCCACTGGCCACAGAAAGTCCTCAGTCAAGGTAGCACACACAAAAGGGAGTGGGGGTAGCCCAGCCCTGGAAAACTGCCAGCTTCCCCAGAAGTCAGAGAACACTCACCCCTGGACACAGCAGCTGGACGATGGGCCCCGCCTGCTGAGCTACATCATGGCTCCCAGCTGCTCAGACACCCCCGAAGGGAAACACCACAGGACTCTGCTTACCCGCACCCGACGCTCCTGCACATCTTGAAGTGGGGTCCCCAGGGGGCTCTGGCTGGAACCACCCACAAGCCAGCCAGTCTCAGGGCCACAGACCCCCTTGGACAGCATGGGACGGGTGGTTGGCTCCACCAGTGGGCCCGAGATACTAAGGCACGAAGCTAACCTAAGCCCACCGGGGTTGGGAGGGGAGAGCACAGGCTCCAAGGGGGCCCTCAAGCCGGCAAAGCACACAGTGACCAGCAATGACGACAGCCTGGTTTTTCCAACGCAGCACAGGCTGGAGGAAAAGAGTGACCACCCAAGGGTGGCAATGGCTCTTGCTATAAGGGGCTCTACGTCCTGGTGGCCTCTATAAAGGCCTCTGGAAAGCGGGGAGAGCCCCGGTCGCGGCTGGCACCTCTGCGCAGGCCCAAGGGCCAGTCCCGAGCTGGAATCTGGGAAGTCGATGTGCAGCTAGGAAGGTCGTGCGATGACTTCAAGTTCCTGGCGCGGCCGGCTGGTGCCCTATCCGTCTCCAGCAAGCCTTGCGTGGAGATCCTAGGAGGGAGCAGGAACGCGGAAGGGAGAGCGGGCTGGAGGGCCTGGGACCTCCCGCGCACTTGTCGGGCAGGCGGAGCCCCGGTGGGCGGGCCGCCTCGCGCTTCAGGGCTGCCTGCGCAGGCCTGGGCGCCCGAAGGCCGGGTGCATGAGGTTCTCGGTGATGTAGGCCACGAGCAGGCAGATAACCACAAGCATGACGCAGATGGAGCCGCCCACCGCCGTCATGGCCACCACGATCTCCCGCATGCCGGCTGGCTCGGCGGCGAACTCCACGCACTCGGTGGACCCGGCAGGCTCCGGGACGGTGGCGGCGGCGGGCTCGGCGCGCAGCGGCAGCGGCTGCAGGCACAGGCGGTAGCGCACGCCGTCGTGCACGTCGGGCAGCAGGTAGTCGCGGCAGGAGGCGCCCAGGAGCACGCGCTCGCACGGGAAGCGCGTGTAGGCGCCGCGCCACGAGCAGTTGAGCGCGAAGGCGCGCACGCGGCGCGCCTCGGCCGGCGCCAGGCGCCACTGCAGCAGCACGCTGCGGTTGCGCAGGACGC